CAAGAAATCAGTCTCTGTCCAAGTCGTTCTCCGGGATGTCACGCTGGAACACGATACCCAAAGTTATCGGATCAGCGCGCCATTGTTGGAGCTTGTGTGTCACTAGTTTTTCAATCCTTCAGCACTCTGCCTCGTATAAACGAAAGAAGCCAAGAAATCAACTAATCTAATTGTATTTTTTCGACAGAGCTGACAGATTGATCGGAGGTTTATCTGACAGTTCATCAATACTCATTTTGACTCCAGAGTAAAAGGAGGGGGGCCGGGGGAGGGGGAAGAACCCGAACGACGCTTGAACCCAGGCCTGTCGCCGCACCGACGATAAGGCTACCGCGTCTCTTCTCTGGTCCCTTCAAAGGTTGAATTTTATGGTGATTCCGATCATTTCCGTCATTTATAAAAGTTCAGCGTTGAAAAGACTTGGTTCGCTTTCTTCCTGGCCTTTTGACCCTATTCATGGCGTTGAAATGCAGCACGATCCTTCCCTACCCTCCTAGAATTTGAACAGCTCAAAGGGGAAAGAGAAAGACTATTTAATTTCCTTAAGATTATTAATGTGGCTTTCAATCCCACATTAACATTTCAAGGACGTCTAAACTAGAAAAACAACGAATAGGGTTCAATATGCCAATAAGAGCGGTCTCTGATTAGAAAGATTGTCTTGAAAGCTAGAGCACTTGGCTTTCTGTCTAGAGTTTTAAGGACAAATATTTAGAAACCAAAGGTGCAAAATATATGACAAATGATGAAGTGTGAAGAGAAACGGTAGAATGGGTAGAATGGGTACGATGCACTATTGTCACAAAAACAGTTTTATTTTAGAAATAGTTTGGGGCTGTAATCTGCTTCTCTACTCTTAGTAGTTTGCAAAGATTTCAATCTTTCGAATTCACAGCTTTCCTTTATGTATCCGTTAACATTAAATAACGCAAAATAATGGTCAATTTATTTACACATTGTAACATTAAAAATTGGTATTAACTCTTTGTTTATTCAAATCCCTTACAACCTCATTGGCATATGAGAAAGGTTCTTTGCTGACGTTGCTCATCTGATCAGTCACTATGAGTAGGCGTACGCCAGTGCTATTGATATTGCAGGACTTCGCCAACCCCTCAAGTCAGTGCTTCGTCTGTTACCCTGGGGAACACCGTCTGTTTTTCTCTGGGGGATGGTCCTTTGTCGTTCCCAGATCCACTTTGAAATTTCTCACCAGACCCCACAACGCCTTTAGATTTGTGAGTTGATAAAATTTGTTTTACAACTCCCTTTGCAGACCGTTTTTAGCAATTTCAGAAATCGCAGAATTCCTTATGCAAAAACTAAGGTTACTTTCTCGTGACTACCTCGCGATAAAGATTTAAATCAGAGAGAAACAGCGGAAGCCAGGTAACTACACACACAAGAAAAGAATTCGCAGACATTCATTAATTGCACGTGTGGTATTATAAACATTGCAATATTTTGATATCGCACGCCTCCACTTTTTCGAGAAGTGTGTATACCACTGCAGTTTAATTTACAACCTCCACTGATTTCGAGCTGGCGTTTTGACCTAAATGGTCGACCTCTAAATATCAAGCTCTTTTAACTGATGATGACGAACAATGGGCGAGAAAAAGTATGATAATTTAGAGCTCCGGGCACTTGTGAGTCAGACTGAAAACGAACAAAACACTTATGGAATAGACGGGGAAAAAAGTGAAGATTCAAGCATTGGTGAGCATGTTTTTAGTTTGACTGGATTCTAAAAACATAATTTTTTTTTAACAGACCCTTTTAATTTGTAATAAGCATTTATAATATATGTTGAAATTGCCAAGTATATCACTGGAATGGTTGAATACTCATCCCGTTATAAAAATAAATCGATCGAGTTATTAGATAAAAGAAAGGTTTCAAACCATGCTGTGTATTTTTGTGACCACGAAGTAAAATTTATTATTGCGTGTGTTGGGAAAAAACTGTATGAAAATAACTAATTTACAAAATAATTGGCGTTGAGTGATAATGATTTAGTAACTTGTGAGGCTATTCACTAAGGTTTTTCCTTGAATGTCTTAGGCCAGAAATGTCTCCAGAAATGTCCTCCACTGATTTTCTTTAAGTTTTTTAATTTGCAATAGAAAAGAGAAAAAAATTCTTAGCAAGCCATTGGACAAAATTCGTTCGAGAGATTTGGTTTTTTGAGAGTACAAAAAATAATGGTAAAATTACATAAATATAAGCTTACTTTCATAAAGGTATTCTCTATTTAACAGACAAAGATGAATTTTACGCATTTTGGAGAAAGGCGGCCATTTGCGTTTCGTGTGCGTCTATCATTTTGACCACGGGATTTGGAGGAACATTTTTCGGTAAGTTTTCTTTTCAAAATTAATACATCATGCCTTTTAAGGTGTTCAGTATCCCCAAATTAAGGATAGATCACCAGTTTTGTTTATGGAATTGTTCAGTAGTATTCAATCACAATTTGCGCAGTTGATCATCCCGTCATGCAAACTGCGCAATATAAATTCACAATTTTATTTATTTAATTTTTTGAATTTATTTTATAGCTGACTAAAAATCCTTTTTCAACGGTTCTTTCTGCAGCATTGTCTCAAATTGCCGGTAGTCCCGCGGCCTTTGGATTTGCCGTAAGTCTCTTTTACCTTTAAACACAAAAACATGACTTATCCTCTCAAATCTTCAAGAACATTCTGTAACTTTGCTAGTCACACATTATGCTTACATTGTTTTCATGGCTGGCGAAATTAATTCAAACAGGTGATTAAAGCTTTGTCTCTCAGCTGTTCAATTAACATTCGTCGTTCATTTTTGACCCAAAAGTACCCATTGCACATTTGTATTCTGATGAAGGGAAAAGAAAAACTCTGCTGTGGATGATCGCTTTTATTAGCTGTTAGACTTGTCAAACACAGTTGATGTTTTCAACATAAACTACGTTCTGCTTTCATAGATGAAAAGCTCATAAAGTTTTAGCCTCTGATTAAAAAAAAAAATACGAAGCCACAGTAAAGAGGAAAAAAAGCTGCTTTTTATATTTTCATAAATTAATGAAAGCTTTGTATTTAATTTTGGGTAACTCTGAAGCCACAAGGGTTTTCGCAGTACAAAAAAATATTGTATATACGTGTTTCATCGTTATTCTTGGTTACGAGTCGCTAGCTTAATAAGCAGAGCATTTGTGTAAACAAGACTGTAATTCAATTCAGAACAAAACATGAATCATAATGAAACGAAGTTTCCGTCATCTGCTTTACTTCAATTCGTAAGCTTTAAGAAACTGTTGCGGATAGTTGTTGTAAGAGTCAAGAGATAGTCGCTTAAATTCATTGGGTAATAAACTTAATCCATCACTAAAGATAAGACAACTCGAACTACGTTTTCATTCGCACTACAAGACTCCAAACCTTTGCAAATCTTCTGTTGTTTTCAACTTGGAAAGTTCAACCTCTCAGGAGCAAAAGGGCCCTCTCTCTCGATATCTTGTTTAACCGTTCTGTCTTCGGCTTTTTTCTTTATTAGGACTTATTCCCAGTTTCATTACAGTAGAGGAACTATTGATAAAGAATGGAAAAGTTTTTAATTCGTTGAAATTTCCTCTCCAAAACTCTTGACTCACTTGCAGCTTGCAGCCGTGTTAGACTCGTTCAGCTCAGCGGTAGTTCTGTGGAGATTTTCCTTCAAAGAAAGCAGGAAGGTTTCAAACTCGTCAAAACGAGAACGAAGGTTTGTAACTATATATCGCTGTGGCAAAACTTCGGGAATCCGCGGTTTTTATCGCCAGGCTTTGTTAAACTTCTCTAGCCATTGGAGTCGATGTTAGCATGTTGCTCTCGCGCTCTGATTGGCTGAGGATAACGTCCTCTCTTGCTTAGAGTTTCCCGCGCAAGGCACGCCAAATAGGTGCGCCGGGATCTGAAGCCGGCTGCCTATAAAATAGCCGCCAGGCAATATGTATAGGTAATCGCATGGGGCCGAGTAAAATTAAGGATTAATATCACACGTGTTTTCGGAAGTTGCCCGAGTCGCTGCGNGCAAACTGCGCAATATAAATTCACAATTTTATTTATTTAATTTTTTGAATTTATTTTATAGCTGACTAAAAATCCTTTTTCAACGGTTCTTTCTGCAGCATTGTCTCAAATTGCCGGTAGTCCCGCGGCCTTTGGATTTGCCGTAAGTCTCTTTTACCTTTAAACACAAAAACATGACTTATCCTCTCAAATCTTCAAGAACATTCTGTAACTTTGCTAGTCACACATTATGCTTACATTGTTTTCATGGCTGGCGAAATTAATTCAAACAGGTGATTAAAGCTTTGTCTCTCAGCTGTTCAATTAACATTCGTCGTTCATTTTTGACCCAAAAGTACCCATTGCACATTTGTATTCTGATGAAGGGAAAAGAAAAACTCTGCTGTGGATGATCGCTTTTATTAGCTGTTAGACTTGTCAAACACAGTTGATGTTTTCAACATAAACTACGTTCTGCTTTCATAGATGAAAAGCTCATAAAGTTTTAGCCTCTGATTAAAAAAAAAAATACGAAGCCACAGTAAAGAGGAAAAAAAGCTGCTTTTTATATTTTCATAAATTAATGAAAGCTTTGTATTTAATTTTGGGTAACTCTGAAGCCACAAGGGTTTTCGCAGTACAAAAAAATATTGTATATACGTGTTTCATCGTTATTCTTGGTTACGAGTCGCTAGCTTAATAAGCAGAGCATTTGTGTAAACAAGACTGTAATTCAATTCAGAACAAAACATGAATCATAATGAAACGAAGTTTCCGTCATCTGCTTTACTTCAATTCGTAAGCTTTAAGAAACTGTTGCGGATAGTTGTTGTAAGAGTCAAGAGATAGTCGCTTAAATTCATTGGGTAATAAACTTAATCCATCACTAAAGATAAGACAATTCGAACTACGTTTTCATTCGCACTACAAGACTCCAAACCTTTGCAAATCTTCTGTTGTTTTCAACTTGGAAAGTTCAACCTCTCAGGAGCAAAAGGGCCCTCTCTCTCGATATCTTGTTTAACCGTTCTGTCTTCGGCTTTTTTCTTTATTAGGACTTATTCCCAGTTTCATTACAGTAGAGGAACTATTGATAAAGAATGGAAAAGTTTTTAATTCGTTGAAATTTCCTCTCCAAAACTCTTGACTCACTTGCAGCTTGCAGCCGTGTTAGACTCGTTCAGCTCAGCGGTAGTTCTGTGGAGATTTTCCTTCAAAGAAAGCAGGAAGGTTTCAAACTCGTCAAAACGAGAACGAAGGTTTGTAACTATATATCGCTGTGGCAAAACTTCGGGAATCCGCGGTTTTTATCGCCAGGCTTTGTTAAACTTCTCTAGCCATTGGAGTCGATGTTAGCATGTTGCTCTCGCGCTCTGATTGGCTGAGGATAACGTCCTCTCTTGCTTAGAGTTTCCCGCGCAAGGCACGCCAAATAGGTGCGCCGGGATCTGAAGCCGGCTGCCTATAAAATAGCCGCCAGGCAATATGTATAGGTAATCGCATGGGGCCGAGTAAAATTAAGGATTAATATCACGCGTGTTTTCGGAAGTTGCTGAAATTGCCCGAGTCGCGCAGCGACGAGGGCAATTTCTGCAACTTCCGAAAACACAAGTGATATTAATCCTTAATTTTACGAGGAACCATGTGATTACTTGTTTATAATATAAGGGGCAAAATGTTTTCTTACTGATCTCGCGCAAAACGGGACGCCATTGTTACAAAACAAACAGAAATTTCTTTACCTTGGCAGCCGTTGCTAAGCGATTTTCAGCCAATCATTTTCAAGTAATTTTGCCCGGGGCAATTACAAAAATTAAGAAAAAAAATGCCCTCTGTCTTGACCAATCACAATTCAGTAATTGTTTCCAGAACAGGAATTATTTCACATTTCACTTTTCTCGAGGCACGTGGCTGGAGGAGATAAAGAACTCTAAAATTGACTATTCATCCTGTTTTTATCTATTTTGCAGAGCATGTACAACAATAGCCGTATGTTTTATCCTCTCAGCATTTGCTATAACAGCTAAAGCCATCTATACCTTACTGGAGGACAAAATACCCTCCAAGGTGAGAAGAAATGCATCAAAACATCCAGGACGATGTTTTATTCCTTTAACTCTCAAGTTATGTTTGTGAATCAGTTCTCCAACCCAGCCGCTACACACTTCCTTGTAAATTAGTTTTGAGAATTTGGTGTTATACCACAATAACAACTTCTGCTTGATAAGTTTGAGTATTCTCAGTATCTGTTTGCCGGATAATAAATGGTTATTGTGGGGAGAAGTTAAGTCATCACCTCTAGAATTTAAAGGTTAACGAATCTGCTCAGTATGGGAAGAAACTACGTTTTCTGATCCTTACGATTTGTAATAAAATACTGCAAAAGTCGTTAGACCTTGATAAATGCGTAGAACTCAGTAGATTTCATCAACATTAATTGCAGGAGTTTTTGATGGAGATGTTATCAGTTGGTAGCTTCTTACACCTGGTATTTCTGACGGCTTTCAAATGTCTAATAGCAGACAAACTCGAGAGCAGAGCAATGAGGATAGATGGTAACGCATAAATGAACCCTCAGGAATGTTCATCCTGGCGTTTCAAAAACGTTCCTAATTTCTAAACTTTGCACTTGTTTAGTTTGATAAAGTCTCGTCCCAAGGAATTTCTCGCCTCGTGATGGAAAAGATAATATTCTTAGAGCGATGCTGTCCATCAAGATATTGATGATAGGACGTGTTTGTTTATCTTATTTCCATTTTTCAATCGAGTTGCTTTCCAAGAACTTCGCAAAGTCATCGTCACGCAAAGTCTTTAGAAGCTCGTATCATGTACAAATTGTTGAAAAATATTGAAATTTTCGCGCTGTGACTCCGAAAATAAAACTTCCGTTTTAGATCAACGGAAAAGAATTGAATTAACTCAAATATTTCACTTGGAAAGCTGTAATTGCGAGGTTTCCTGAAGGTTTCATTGTACATTTACGAGATAACCTACTTTATATGTTCCTCTTTACCTTTTCAATCCTCTCCAGCAATAAATTCTTTGGCTGGTGCTGTTATGACGCTTGGTATGGTGGCCAGTGATGTGATCTGTTTAAACAACCCAAAAATCTGCTACTTGGACTCCGTTACTGCAATTCTGATAGCCATCGCGCTCTTCTGTTATGGCGTCGCGTAAGTATAACAAATGTTTCCATATTTCCCAGCATGCATCACCATCGTTGGTGGCGAGGAATTTAATGCTTGCACACAGTTTTTCGTTCTCCCAATTATTTCAATTGACCCAAAAAGGATTTTCAGATTTTTTTTTCACTCTTTTTCTTCTGATTTACATTTTCAAGGACCATCGCAGAGCTGAAAACGGGCGAGGGAAAGAAACCGCTGCACAACTAAATGGAATTTCAGTTCAACAGGTGGCCTGGACTTCTCCACCCCCCTCTTTTCCGCTCCAAATTTCCTTTGCTCTACGAGCGGAACCTTGTTCACAAGAATGTAATAACGCACGGGCAACGTTTTAAATTGCTAGAGATTTTCACTGAATCGAAGAAAATGAAGGCTACTTACTCAGATTTGCTTTTCGTCAGTGTTCAAAGATACATTTCTAGAAATTGTTGGATTGTGACCCTTGTAGGCTGTAATACTAGAAAAATTAAAATTTAGATGTTTAACATCGTCATAACTTGAATTGAGTAACGATCCTCTTTAATAGGAAAGTATTAAAGAGCATTCTTCACCAAACAAATGTAACTGTATTGAAAGCTCACTTTGTTGCAAATAGAGTAAAGCACAGGCGCATGGTTCTGAAATGGCTGCTAAACAAATGTTTTGCGAAGTTTAAAACCGGTTTTTTTTTACCCTGATTCCGAGGGGAACGAAATTATACTGACTTCCATCGAAAACGTTATATGTCAGCCAACAAAAAACAGGCAAATAATACTTGGAACTGTTCCACTGTTAAGGAATGAAACAAAAAGTACAAAATTTTCAGCTTTATTTATCAAATAATTCCAGCTCTGTACTTTATCACGTATAATGTAAGTCAATATTCAAGTCACAAATTTATATCCATTAACCCATTTAACATAAACAAAATGATCATTATTCAACACCGATTCGCATATCAGTTTAACCTTTATAGATTTCCCGCCTGTTCGATCATTTCACCCATTCGACAAAAAAATTTCAAAACGCATTTTGCGATCTCGTAAAAAAAAAAAAAAAAAAACTGCACCGACTGTCAACTGGAATAAAAAAACTGCTGGTAATATCAACAAAGTATAATTCCGATGGTAAACATTATTAGATACAAAAGAGAATTGTTCATACTCTATCACTAAAATAAACAAACTTTACTTAAAAGTAAAAGTGCTGCTAGAAATATCTAGATCAAGGTCAGCATCTAAACAGCTACGCACCTAACCCTCCCCTAGCTCAACAACAGTCAACGATTAGGGGAGGGGTGGGTGTACAGTTGCTCAGATACTAACACTGATCCAATATTTTCAACTGAAGATAAAAGAACGTCTGTGATTAACTGGCACAAAAATGAACACGGTAAAGGGCATGGCACGGTGGATAACTGTAAAAAAATCTCTTTTACAATTGGACTTCAATTCGTTAAAGCGCTAAATCAAATTAACATTTCAGATTTGCACAATTTTCTAAAGAGATTTGATAATTCAAGTTGTAATTAATGCTAACATTTCATGGCCGTATTCTTTTTAGTCGTTTTCTTTTCTCTTTCAAGCTTTTTTTTTTTTTTTTTTTACAAAATTACCTATAATACACTATAAATGTCGCCGCGAAGTACCAGGAGCGCATTCTCATTTCGCAAGCCTGACGATGCCGAATATTTCCGAGGCTTACCCGAGCATACGACGGTAGATGCGCACAAGGTCTGTACTCCTTCCAACATCTTTGCCTCTAAGAAGCCGAAAAACCTACAAAACAGCATCTCATGCTGCGCAGCAGAAATTAGTTGATATTGTAGACTCCTTTCTTCTTCATAAATCCCATTTTTTCAAACTTTCCTTCCTTCTTGCCGGCCTTCTGTTCTTTTTCTCTCTGTTTTCTCGCTTTCTGTTCTCGTTCCATCTCAGCTTTCAGCTCTTTGATCTTCTTCTTGATGAGAGCCCTGTGGTTCTGACTCACTCCCATTGTCTGAAAAAGTGAAATGCGATGAAATTCAACGTTTCCTTTTATTTTTCCTTCCAAAGCCATACAGGGTAGTGACGAGAGTTAAAAACTTTCACCCAGGGTCCAGTCATCGGTCAAATTCGCCTGGGGGAGGGGGTCGGATAATTTTGGTTGTATTACAACCAAACTTACCTAACTTTCCCTCCCCCCCCCCGCTAAGGCTTCGCAATGTCCTTATGATCTCCCTCATTAGCAGCCAATTTTCTATAGTGCCCCTTAATATTCTGTTGGCAACGACTGATCCTTCCCACATTCCACCGAAAACTACGCGATCCCCCAAAATCCTACGACTGGTTCCTTGCTGAAAATGGGGGAGGGGGGGGGAGTGGCCGGGGAAAGGACCATGATCGAAGGCTCTTATCTCTTGCCACCGTCCCCCTACAGAGAGTTTTTCAACGCTTGTGTGCTTGAAAATTGATTTGCAACTTATTTCAACATTTTGCATTTGATTTGCAACTTTATTTCTTCATGCTGTTTCATCAAAATGCGGCAAATTGAAATAAAACCTAAACGTTAGCCATTGAAGGTGCCGTGAACATTCAATTGTCATGGGCACTTTGTGATAAGACACAGAACCCTACCTTAAGCCTGGAGCCATCTAAGTTTAATAGTTGTTTTCCATCAATCTTTTTGGCAATGAATTCCTCGGCATATTCGTCCAACTCATTTTGGATTAACCACGCATACACCTAGAAAACAGTTTAGAGAAATCAGTCGAAGAAAAAACAAATCGTAATAAAAATAAATCGTGAACCCTTTTAGATTACAATAACATATTGGTACATGAAGTCAAAAAGAAAATTAAAAATGAGATAACAGAATGCTTGTCCACTCCCTTTGTACGAGTTCAACCCACCCAACTGGAAGAAAAACTAGCACGGGGCACTATATCTGTCAGTCTACCTTCTCATCCCAGTCCGTCCGTCCGTCTGTCTGTCTGTCTGTCTGTCTGTCTGTCTGCCCGTCTGTATCTACTTCTCAGTCAGTTATCCAGTTATCAGGGTCTGGGGTACTCCCCATCTTACAATCATATAATTTCAGTATTTTTTTCTGTTTAAATCTTTGCCTGTCCGTCCGTCTGTCTGTGTCCCTGTCTACATGGCAGTCAGTCACGAAATTCACTGACTATGGGTGTGTTCAACTTTCATTTATATTTAAATGTATCTGTGCTGTATTGTTAGAGTCCATTCCCCCGCTACTCACCTGATCCGTGTCCCAGTCTGAGATCAGCTGTGCATTTGCAGATGAATTGAAGTCTGACCCGGGACTAAGAGACGACTGTCCATCAACACTTGATCCTGTTCCTACAGATCGTTGATCGAAGTCTCTCTGTCCGCTGGCCGCAAGTAGTTCCGGGGGGACATCAATGGCAGCTTCATTATAGGACTCCATCACGGGCACACTCTTAACTTGTAACAGGGGCATGGCAGGAGGGAGGAATGGGGATGAACCTCGAGAGGAAGCCTGGGACGAGGCCAAATCTGAGTCAATCTGAAAGTAAATTGCGATCAAAAACGTTAATTCGCAAAGCGGATGGAAAGAAACATGGAACACACTTTTAGCTCCTTGTCTGAACACACTGAACTTCCCTATTTGAACATTAATAGGAACCTTCACAAGAAGACAACAATTTTTCACATTGGTCGTTTTCAGCTCGCTTCAATCTTTTCCATTTTTGAACATTTCTACTTTAGATAGATAATAATCTTTAGACAGGGTGCGTTCTCACAGAAGTGGTTTTCAGAACGGCCCTGTAAGCACCCACACAACCCA